ACCCCAGCCTGCCACACCCTGGTGCTCTATCCACCAGGCCTCACAGCCTCTCTGTAGCCAACAGGTCACAGTGTTCAGCAGCAGCTGGGGTCTCACGTTTCACCCGCCTATCCCACCCAGTCCTGGGCGCAGGGGAGCCGAGTCGCCCCGATTCCTACGGGCGTCGGTGTCCCCGCTGGCACAGAGACCAGGGGCCCCCCAACAGCAGCGTACAGCCTGCGTCTCCTGTGGGCACAGCAGGAGTCCCCCCCACAGGCACATTACAGCCTGGCCTGGGGGAATGCCCACCACCGCAGGGTGCTGCCGCCTGAGTGGGGCCAAGGTACACCTGGGAGCAACCACCAGGGCCGGCCAAGCGTCTGCACGGTTCCATCGACGGCTAAATACAGCTGGGCAGCTCTGGCACCAAAGCCTGGGGGAGGGCTGGAGCTCCCACCCGGATCTGAACATCTCCATGGATCTTGTTAGCACCCAACACACTGACCCGGGTTCAGAGACTCGCTCCTGCTTCCCATGTAGACGCACCCAGCGAGAGTCCCCGGGGGAAGAATGGTTCAGGGGGAGGCACTGGCCTAGGGCAGAGTCACTTGAAGGCCCAGATTTCCCATGGGAGCAGGGCATGGAAGGACCTTGGTAAACCTGGGCCTCCGTTCCCCCAGCTGTAAAATGGGGCTAATACCAGGATTGTCAGATTGATACTGTGCTGCACCTGGTGCAATGCGGGCCCAGGCCATGATGGGGGGTCCCAGGTGCTGCCCTAAAAACATGCAGCGCCTGGCACAACATGGTCTACGGCGAGGGCTTGCACACGACACCGTAATGCACCTGATAGCAATGAAAATGTGCAGCGCCTAGCACAAGGGGGCTTGGGCCTTGCGGAGCGGCTCCAGGTAGGACTGCCGTGTACACCACCAATGAGCAAGCTGTGCAGAGGTCACTGCACGGAGCTACATGCTAGCAGCGGCCGCCGGGCTGAGCCAGCTGGCCCTACAAGCTGCTGCAGGAAGCCAGTCGAACCCTGTCGCTGGCGCAGGACTTTGCCCATCGCTGCAGGAGAGGGAGAGCACGGTTGGGTGTGCACTGACCTGCCAGGGGCTTGCAGACGACTGGCTTCGTCACGTGCCACCGGCCGCCCTTGCAGACGGCGACACCAGGGGGGCCAGCTGGGACATAGCCGGCCTCGCAGTCATACTGCACCATGGAGCCAGCCTTAAATACGCCTCCGCCCAGAGCCAGCTGGCAAGCCGGGGACATGCACCTGTAGGTAGAGTGATCGGGGGGGTCCGGGAACTGGCAATCTGGAAGGGAAACAGGCACACCGAGGGTTAAGATCACAGAACACTGGAACCAGAAGAGGCCTTGAGAGATCATCAAGTCTAGTCCCCTGCCCTCACGGCAGGACCAAGCGCTGGCTAGATCGGGGTGGGCAAAAGGGCCTGCCAAGTGAGTTGATCCGGCCCGCAGAGGCCCTGCCGCTCCCCAACCCCCAGGCCCATCAGAGTCTGGGGCCGGGGGGAAGCGCACAAACTTAGAAGCGCTGCATGCTCCTGGCAGGGCAGGAGGAAACTTCATGTGCTCACCTGCCCCCAAGCCCTGACTGGCCTGGGGGCAGAAGGGGGAGCACGCAAAGTCTCCTCCCACCACCGAGGGCATGGGCGCTTAGGGAGAACTTCTTCAGCACTTCCAGGCTGCCAGATCAAGTCTGGGGCCGGGGGGAAGCGCACAAACTTAGAAGCGCTGCATGCTCCTGGCAGGGCAGGAGGAAACTTCATGTGCTCACCTGCCCCCAAGCCCTGACTGGCCTGGGGGCAGAAGGGGGAGCACGCAAAGTCTCCTCCCACCACCGAGGGCATGGGCGCTTAGGGAGAACTTCTTCAGCACTTCCAGGCTGCCAGATCAATCATGGTCTATGGGTGGGGAAGCAGGGAAGTATCCTGGCCCCGCCCCTTCCCCCCCCCGGCCCCCAAGCCCTGATTGGCCTGGAGGTAGAAGGGGGAACACGCGAAGTCTCTTCCCACCACCAGGGGCATGGGTGCCTAGGGAGAACCTCGGGGAGTGGGGCAAAGGCGCTTTCCCATCCCTAGACCAATCATGGTCTATGGGTGGGGAAGCAGGGAAGTATCCTGGCCCCGCCCCTTCTGCCTGTGGCCCCGCCCCTTCTGCCTGAGGCCCCGCCCCTTCCAGTGCCACCTGGGGCCACTTCAAAAATTTCTGAAGTGGCCCCTGGTAAATTTTATTGCTCACCCGTAGTCTAGATCATCCCTGATAGACGTCTACCTAAACTGTTACTCTCCTATTCATGCATCCCAGAATCACGGTTGCTTTTTTTTTTTGTTAAAAAGAAGTTTCACGCTGCTGACTCAGGGTCTGTCTACACTGGCACCCTCTTTCCAGAGAGGGATGCAAATGAAAACATTTGAAATTGCAAATGAAGCTGGGATTTAAATATCCTGTGCTTCGTTTGCATATTCACATTATGGCGCATTTCGAAACAACAGACGCTGTTATTTCGAGAGAAAACCCTTCTCTCGAAATAACTGGTAAACCTCATTGTATGAAGAATAAGGGTTAGTTCAAGAGAAGGGTTCTCTCTCGAAAGAACCGCGTCTGTTATTCAAAATAGAGCTATGCAAATGAAGCGCAGTACGTTTAAATCCCGGCTTCATTTGCAATTTCACACAGCATCACGCTGTGGACTCAGATTCAGCACGTGGCCCACTCTGACCCCTAGATCCCTTTCTGCCGGGCTCCTTCCCAGACCGTCGCTTCCCATTCTGCATGTGTGAAACGGACGGTTCCTTCCTACATGGAGCACTTTGCATTTGTCTTTATTAAACTCCATCCTGTTTACGTCCGACCATTTCTCCAGTGTGTCCAGATCAGTTTGAATGATGACCCGTCCTCCAAGGCACTCGCAGCCCCTCCCAGCTTGGGATCATCCGCAAACTTACCAAGTGTCCTACTCTCTATGCCATCTCTAAATCGTTGATGAAGATATTGAACAAAACACAAGGGGCCTTCAGTGGGGTAAAAGGCAGCAAAACTTGATACAGGTGAGGGATTAGAGCAGGGTTCTATCCCCAGCTCAGGGCAGGGACTAGGGTCTAGCGCAGCAACGGGCAACTGAGGCTGGTGAGTGGGCAGCGCGAGTGGCCGCCTCCATCTCCGCGGGTAGAAAGACTGTCGTGTCCAAGACAGTATCACTGCGCTTGTGCACCTGGAGCGTGCGAGGGGTGTGCTGACTGAACCGCAGCAGCGCTGTGATTGGATGCAGAGGGAGCGCATGGCTCTCACGGTCACTGTTGTGTGCAATCAGTGTGCACCTCACTCCATGTGCCCTGGCTTTAGGTGCGTGGCACTTTCGTTACACCAGTAGGAAACCACCGCCACGGAGGGAAACCCTGCACGTGGGCCCTCGGGCCGCAGATTGTCCCCCACTGGTCTAGTGGGTTAGAACAAGGGGAGGGGTTTCTCCAGGGCAGAGTCACTGGCAATCGAGACCCTCTGTAGCATGGGGCTCTCCTGCAAGGACGGCAAAGGCAGCACGCAGGTTTCTCCCTCCCTTCCAGCCCCCAGCCTACTTCCAGCCCCACCTCCTCTCCCCCTCTTGCCCTTGGATCTTCCCTTCTCAGCCCAAATTCGACCGTGGGGCAGAGTGGGCAGATCTGGCTGAGCTGGGCTTGCTCGTGAGGCCTGGTTGTTCTGGGCACATTGTCCTGCCCAGCTGCTCCTGTCTCACTCCAGACTGCAGCCTGATTCGAGCTGGCCTCATGACCAGCAAGGTGGGGGATTTCCTGGCTCCATGGCTGGGAGGGGAGCGAAGTGACTCACCGGCAGCAAAGAGCGCACTGCCCACACGCCTATAGCTGGGCCTCCCCATTCCTCAATTCCCTCAAGTTCTCCCGGAGGGCTCCCGCCAGCATCAGCCACTGCACTACAGAAACCCCCGCTCGGCAGGCTGCTGGCATCGTAGACATCGTGTTGCCCAGGTCTACGGGGAAAACTAGCCAGCAGCCGGCCCAGCTCCCACACCCCCATTCCTAGAGCCGCAGGAGCTAGGTCACAGCTGCAGAGACGGGGGAGGGAATGGGGGTCTCCATCCAGACATTTTTGATTTTTTCAGCACAAATTCAAACACCAAAACAGTTCAGTTTGGAAATGCGCTGCTGCTCCCTGTGGAGCTTGTAGTTGCCGAGAATCCTGCCTGCCATTCTCCTCTAGAGCTGGGCTCCCTCGCTGAACTACAGCTCCCACAGGACACCGCCTCCGCCCCCAGGACTACGCGCCATGCTGCAGCCAAACAGGCCCAGGGGGACACCCAGACTACACCTCCCACAGGTGCTCTAGGAGCACAACCAGATCAGAACATTCCCCTTTGCAGGTGTTAAGTTTTCAGGGAAGTGGGTTTTTGTGGCACCTGATTTTCCATCAGACACAGGCGATGGGAAAGTTGCACCCAGGAGGAGAGGGGAGGGGAGGGAATGGCAGACGAGGGTTGGGAACGAGACCCAGCCGGTACCTTTCCTCCTGGGGACAGCGCCGGAGCCGCAGAGCGCCACGAAGAACAGAGCCGTGGGGAAGTAACACAGGGGACATCCTGCCGCCGTCATCCTCAGGAAGCCCCTGCCCAGAGCCGCAGCTACAAGAAGCCAACACGTCAGAGTCCTGCACAACTTGATACCAAGCGTCTGATTCTGCCGCGACCAGCCCGGGGAGCCTGTTCCGGTGCCGGACTCAGCGGCTCCCTGGTCTCCCCGCATCCCGCCCAGCAGCCCCAGAAGGACGTTCGGTCCCTAGCAGCGTGACCTGGATTCGGAGCTGGGGGAGCCCTGCCGGGAGTCCCAGCTCCGCAGGCACCCAACCCCTCCCTCTCCGAGCATCAGCTCCCGGGGCCTGAGCACAGGCCAGTCTCCCCACCTGTCCCAGCACCCCATTCTGTACCCAGAATCCCCCAGTCTCCCCACCTGTCCCAGCACCCCATTCTGTACCCAGAATCCCCCAGTCTCCCCACCTGTCCCAGCACCCCATTCTGTACCCAGAATCCCCCAGTCTCCCCACCTGTCCCAGCACCCCATTCTGTACCCAGAATCCCCCAGTCTCCCCACCTGTCCCAGCACCCCATTCTGTACCCAGAATCCCCCAGTCTCCCCACCTGTCCCAGCACCCCATTCTGTACCCAGAATCCCCCAGTCTCCCCACCTGTCCCAGCACCCCATTCTGTACCCAGAATCCCCCAGTCTCCCCACCTGTCCCAGCACCCCATTCTGTACCCAGAATCCCCCAGTCTCCCCACCTGTCCCAGCACCCCATTCTGTACCCAGAATCCCCCAGTCTCCCCACCTGTCCCAGCACCCCATTCTGTACCCAGAATCCCCCAGTCTCCCCACCTGTCCCAGCACCCCATTCTGTACCCAGAATCCCCCAGTCTCCCCACCTGTCCCAGCACCCCATTCTGTACCCAGAATCCCCCAGTCTCCCCACCTGTCCCAGCACCCCATTCTGTACCCAGAATCCCCCAGTCTCCCCACCTGTCCCAGCACCCCATTCTGTACCCAGAATCCCCCAGTCTCCCCACCTGTCCCAGCACCCCATTCTGTACCCAGAATCCCCCAGTCTCCCCACCTGTCCCAGCACCCCATTCTGTACCCAGAATCCCCCAGTCTCCCCACCTGTCCCAGCACCCCATTCTGTACCCAGAATCCCCCAGTCTCCCCACCTGTCCCAGCACCCCATTCTGTACCCAGAATCCCCCAGTCTCCCCACCTGTCCCAGCACCCCATTCTGTACCCAGAATCCCCCAGTCTCCCCACCTGTCCCAGCACCCCATTCTGTACCCAGAATCCCCCAGTCTCCCCACCTGTCCCAGCACCCCATTCTGTACCCAGAATCCCCCAGTCTCCCCACCTGTCCCAGCACCCCATTCTGTACCCAGAATCCCCCAGTCTCCCCACCTGTCCCAGCACCCCATTCTGTACCCAGAATCCCAGCACCCCATTCTGTACGTAGAATCCCCCAGTGCCCTAGCACCTCCCTTACGCAGAATGTCGCGGGACCCCTGCCCATCCCAGGTGCCCCAACACCCTGGGACCCTGTCCGGCTTGGGTGCTGCAGTTCCAGGCAGAAGCCTGATCTCTACCTGGGAGCCTGGGACAGGTGCATTTGGAGCCAATGGTGGCAGCCGGGGAGGAACCGGACAGACAGCTGCTGGCCCTGTGGGCAAGACAGGGGAGAACTGGGTGCGGGCTCTGACCCACACACACTCCATGGGACCTTGGGGCCCATCTGCCTTCACTCACCTCCAGGAGGTGCCAGCTGCTCCAACCCTGACTGGCAAGTCCCTCTCTGCTCAGCCCTGCCCATGGGGACAGTAGATCAGGAAAGACCCCACGGGCATCTCCTGGGAGCAATAACCCACTGAGGTGTGGGGTTGTGACAGTGTTGGACAAGGCATCTTCAAGTGGAGTCAGAGATGGGGTGGGACCCACCTGGGCAAAACAAAACCTCACCTGCTCTTTGTTGGTAACAGACCTGCTTCATTCCAACAGGGACTAATTCAGAGATGTCCTAGGACCTGGATTATCCAGGCCAGAGGAGAAATCACAGTGGTCCCTTCCCAGTCTATGAACTTTTCACACTAGTTCCCTCTTTCCCGCAATTTTTCTCACCCCAACTAGGGGTTTTTGGAAGAAACTTTATTTCCTGGAATTGTCCCTTTTCCCTCAAAAAATTGGTGTTTTGGTTTTGAAAGAAAACTCTAAAATGCTTTTGTCTTTCATCCCTTTAAAAAACATCCCTTTTCGGTTGGCCAAAATGTTTAAAAAAAAAAAGTTTAGGGGGTTTTATTGCTAAGAAACCCTAACATATTTTTGGTTTCCAATTGCCCCTTTCCCCCCCAAATCAGTTTTCAGTGGCCAAAAATAAAAAGGAAAAAAATGGGAAAACCACAGCAAAGTCTAGAAAAGGTTTTTTTTAAAATGGAAACCAAACATTCTTCATTTCATCCCAAATTTGTCTTGGTTAAAAAATTGTTATTCAATCAGTTTGCCCCTACGGGGTAGTAAGTTGTTTATAACAATGCCCCCCGGGCTTCTGGCTGCTCAGAACAGAGCATGCCAATCTTGAAATGCTTTATTCTGGCCTGGTGAAAATGATTCCCACGAGCTAGAGGGAGGTACCTATACCCTGTTAAAGCGGCGAGCAGTCCTGGGGCACCTTGTAGACTAACTGAAGTGTAATGCTCCAACACTTCAGTTAGTCTCTAAGGTGCCACAGGATTCAGACTAACACAGCTCCCCCTCTGATACTATACCCTGTTATGACTGCATCCACTCTCTAGCAGATTGGTTACAAATATTTATCATCTCCCAGACCAGCTTTGCTGTGGCAAGAGGACTCCCAAGTGTAGCTCAGAACAGGCATCAAGCACTTGCTAATCTATTACATATTTTTAAGAGTTTGCTTGTCAATTTGTCTGTGCAAAATAAAGTCATATTTTGTGATTTCCTACAGATAAATTTTGCAAAAACAATCCTGCCACTTTAATTAGCTGAACACACTACTTTTTAACACCAGAATATGCTGGGTGAAAGGTTTAAATAATTATTTTTTGTTTTTCATCAGAAAAAACTCATGACTATTATGATTAGAGTTCATAAAAAATATGTGCTTGCAAAATTAAAATGGAGTCGCCTATTCAACTGTCATTTTAGTGCAAAGAAAATTTTGACTGTTACAAATCACAAAATAATTCAAATTAGTTACAGAAAGAGTAATGGAAGCTCTACGAGTTTTTTATTCAAATTTACTATGTATGGTAATTATTTGATAAAATGAATAATGTTTGAAGTTGAAATCCCACAAATGTAAAACTGTTCTTTTACTTCTCTTTTGCAAGCACATTAATAAAACATTCTATTACAGATATTTTGTTTTTTTAAATTTTCCTATAAGTGTAATCTACGTAAAATGACTTTGCCCAGTCAACGACAAGCCTCACCTGCTAGTCTACTATATATTGGAGAGACTTTGTGAGCAAGCAGGCGAATGAATCTGTCTGTCTGTCCAAGAACGCCTCGTAAACAGTAAGAGCTAGAGCCACCAAATTTGGGAGGCAGCTTCCTCGTCCCCTAACTTAAAGCAAGGTCAGGGGTTGGTTGTCCCAGGACAACGGGATTTTTTTTCATAGCACAGAGATAAGGCCTGTGAAGAATTGATGCATCGCATGAGACACACTGAATTGCTTCTCAGGCGAGGCGAGGGATGTGAGCCGCTTGCTCAGGGGATGTTCTAAGTTTCTGCATGCTTTGTTGTTGTGGGGTTTGGAATTTTTTTTTTTTTTTGAGTCTTTAGTATTTTTCAGCTAAAATTTTGGTCTGGTTCCTAATTTTGGAAAATAAACTTAATTAAATCTGTGGCTGACACCAGTGTTTTAGCCTGGCTTATTTCTGAAGTGCTTGTAGCTCTAGCAGAGTCCTGCCCAGGGAAGAGATGAAATAATCTAGACCCCATGTGCCTCAGTTTCCCAATGTGCAGAATGGGGATAATCCTTTTTCTATCTGGTCTGTTTAGGCTGTACTATTTAGTATAGGTATTCTGGTAGCATCTAGAGCCTCAGGCATGGCCCAGAACCCCATTGTGCCAAGCGCCGTATGAGCACTGGTTGAATTAACAGGCCTCCCGGAGCTGGGATTGTAGGAAATCCTCAACTGTCTGAAGACTCGCAGAATGGGTCATTGATGGCCCCTGACTCCCCCACATCTAGTGGTCGGAGTGCCAGACAATTGAGACAATCGAGGTTCCAGTCCCAGCTATGCCACTGGCCTGGTTAGTCATCTTGGGAAAGTTACTGCTTCCTGCCTCGGTTTCCCCCTCTGTAAAACACGAGAGAAGCACTGCCTCTGGGTATTATGTGAGAGCTGGATTATTATTACCCCTGTTCACCTAACGTCTGAGCCTCTCCCAGCCCGCCCCAGGGACCAGGGCTGTTTTCCCATTCTACCGCGGGGGAAACGAGAGGCACAGATCAGCTAAGTGACTTGCCTGGGGCAGGGCATTGACCTGGGGTCTCAGGCCCTGAGCCCGACTTCCCAGCTAGTCAGCCCTCTGTCCCCGCAGGCTGCTGTCCGGGTGGTTAGAGTCCCCTGCCAGGCAGGGCGGCAGCAGAGGCCCAGGCAGTAAACGTGCAAGATAGAATGTGACAGGGAGGGCGACTCAGCTGCCCGATTCACAGCTTTTTCCACCAGCACTAGGGTCGCGGTTTCCTCCCTTCGTCACTCATCTTGCCAGCTGCCTGCCTATTTTTAGCTCCGGGATAGGACGGGCTCAGCAATCGGGGGAGGGCAGATTTCCGGCTCGTCACTTTCAGGAATCGCTCTGGTAAGTAAAGGGGAGGTGGCCTGGCCTGCCGGACAGTCTAGGGAAGCCCTGTTGTTGGGAAGTGACCTGGACTTGTGCCTTTCCCGGCTGGGCGGGGGCTGGGCATGGCTGGGATATGGGAGGGGATGTGGGGACCTTCCGGTCTATTAGGATAGCGCCCAGGCACTCCAACGTGCCAGGCACTGTACATCCCATAACACACCTAATAGCTGTAAAAATGTGCGATTGCCTAGTGCCATAAGGCCGGGTTCATGCAGGGCTCCTAGGTGCTACCATAATATACATAATAAATCATGATGATAATATACAGCATGATAGGGTCCAAGGCCATGTACCGTAATACACCCAATAGCTTGGCACAATGGCCTCGCAGGCACTATTGGAATATAACTCAGCCGAACAAGGGGTCAGAGCTTTCTGCCTGCCCGGGCAGGGGAGTCAGACTCTGGAGTTACACCAGAATAGTCAAAGCAGCCCCCTGCCCAGCCCGCTCCGTGGTAGAGCACAGGGAGGTTTGGATTATTGGAGGATCTTTTTCAAAGTGGCTTTTTGACGGAGGTGACGGTTGTTCGTCCCAGCTGACAACTGTCTGGCGGTTGACTTACTGAACATGGGCAGTTTCCTGGTGAAACTGTTGGGCTGTTGTGTGAAAGGCCTGTGGTTACTGACAACTTTTAGGGGAAACAGTTTTGGAAACTGAAACTGAAGGTAGTTAAAAAACCCAACCTTGTCATGGGAAACAACGGGGAATGCCTCACATTTCTCAAAGTTTCACATGGAAAACAAATGGGAATTCTTCGCCCCAGCTCGTTTCTGGGGGTGCCACTGCTGGCAGCTCTCCATAGCCCCCGCTATGACACCTCTGCTACCTTTGATCCAGCTGCAGCTAGAGAAGTTCCTCAGTACGAGAGGCTAGAGGAGTCGAGCGAGGGCAACGCATGTAGCAGGGCCTTCCCCATGAGGAACTGGGACCCCAGAGCCCCTTTCCCAGACTTACAAGCCCAACTGGAGCATGCAGAGAATTCAAACGTGCCCTGAGAGGATGAAAATCTTGGGTACAGTAGTACCCGTCGGGCCAGCGCCACCCAGATCCCAACCAGCCAAAACAAAAACCAAAAGTAGTGGGGAGAAGGCGGGAAAGGGGGACACTGGTACTGGGGGAGGGAGTAGAAATCCTGGAATTCCAAGCTGAGGCCTCGCAGCCCAGGTGATGGACACAGGGTGTGAAGGGGAGGTGCTGTCTGCCATTGGTCCTGCAGGAGGACAGCTCGAAGGGTTAAGGTGAGTGAGGCAGGGGAGACTCAGTGCTAGGGTTCTGCTGGGGAAAAAAGGGGCTTTTCTCAGCTTGTGGGAAGCCTCCAGTGGTCAGAAATTCCCCTGGCTTTCAAGGCTCCCTTGGTGTGTCGGGCTACAGGGCCCTGCCTGCTGTGAATCCCCCAGAGAACAGCAGGGAATCCCCTCGCTCTGCTTGACTTCAGGGCAGCAGGGGCCCTGCATGGACAGCTCGAGATGTCAGGGAATTTTCGGGTGCCACTGGAAACTGGGAATTTCCTGGCGTGCAGAGAGCTCTGAGCTGCAGCCAGAGTCTCCCCTCCAAGTGGCCTCCAGGCTAGGGTGTTATTACCCAAAGATGTGGAAACAGGGTACGTCATTTCCCCATCTGTGACTCCAGGTCACACAGTCCTGACTCCCAGGTCCCCTCCTCTAACCCCATAGAGCCCCACACCTCTTCTAGCACTGGGGACAGAACCCAAGAGTCCCAGCTCCCAACCTCCTCCCCCCAGCCCTACCGCTAAAAATCATGTGGCGAAGACACTGTCAGTTAATACAGAAATTAATTTTAACCAGTCTCATGAGGCCAGGACTCAGCATTGTGGTATCTGGTTCTCTGTGGAAGCTAAACACTATCCCAGTGACTAATGCTGGTCTGGGAACACCCTGAGCCCGGCCACGAGCAGGGCCCCGTCGGGCCGGGCGCGGCCCCGAGCCCGGCCGAGAGCAGGCCTTTCACTGAGCACTGCCCAGCCCCAGAAGGTCCCCCCCTCCCCAGTCGCACACTAGAGCTCAGTTCCTCCAAGCGTGGGAGGTCGCGGCACACCAAGCTGTTGTGAAACGGGAGGTCGGGAGACCTTGCATAAGCCAGGCTGTCTACACAGGACCCCTCCCCGTGTCTGAACCTGAGCGGGCCTGTCTACATCAGGTGGGCTGCCTGTGGCACACTCAGGATCTAGGCCAGCAGAGCGCCGCGGGCACATGCAGCACTGCCAGTGCCCTGGCTGGGGTCTGTCCTCCGGTCCCGCTGCCCAGTCTGACGAGCTGCCCCAGGAAAAGCCCAGGCTTGCTGGCCCAACGGCCTCGCTCAGGGCCCTCCTAGCCATAGCCAGCCCTTCGCAGTGCCGCCAGGCCATTGCCAGATGGCAGCTGGCCCCTCCCCACCTCTGGCCTACGGCCCTGAGCGGGGGGCAGGCGTGGCGAGAGCCTGTTTCTCGCCCTGTTGGCTCCGTGCATGGGCGGCCCGTCAGTACAGGCGAACTAGGCGAACACCGAGGGCGCCAAGACAAACGGCCATTGAGGGCTTCGGAGGCGGGGGCACCAGTCGCGCGCTTCGCCTACGGCACCAGTTGCCGGCAGCTCGTCTAGGGCTGCTCCTGGCTCCATGGCCCAACCCCACCCTGGCACTCCAGGTTCTGTTCAGTCTCACCCATTAACTGGGGTGAGAGCACATGCTGCTCTATGCCGGGACGCTGTCTGGGTGAAACTTTGGCTGGTCCCAGGGTGCCTTGTACGGATACCACCAGTGACTGGGATGCAGTTTATGCTGGGTGGCTTATTCCCTGTCCCCAAGCTGTCCCGTACTGGCATCCACCCAGGCTGGCCGTAGGGTTTTGGATGGCACTACAGCAGAGCATGCGGATGCTCTCCAGGGGCTCTGCACAAGGGGCTTTACGGATCATAGAACCATAGAGCTGGAAGAGACCTCAGGAGTCATCAAGTCCAGACCCTGCTCTAGGCAGGGCCAATCCCAACTAGATCAACCCAGCCAGGGCTGTGTCAAGCCGAGACTTAAACACCTCTAGGGATGGAGACTCCACTACTTCCCTAGGTAACCCATCCCAGTGCTTCGCCACCCGCCTAGTGAAATAGTTTTTCCTAATATCCAACCTGGACCTCTCCCACCACAACTTGAGACCATTGCTCCTTGTTCTGCCATCTGTCACTACTGAGAACAGTCTCTCTTCATCCTCTTTGGAAGCTCCCTTCAGGAAGTTGAAGGCTGCTATCACATCCTCTCTCATTCTTCTCTTCTGCAGACTTAACAGACCCAACTCCAACAGACCCAACTCCCTCAGCCTCTTCTCACAGGTCATATGCTCCAGCCCCCTAATCATTTTGGTCGCCCTCCGCTGGACCCTCTCCAATGCGTCCACATCCTGTTGCGCTAGGCCCAGTGCAGACCCACCATGCACCCAGCCACAAGGAGCCAGACTGGGTCAGAGCAAAGGTCCATCTAGCCCAGCGGCCTGTCTGCCGACGGTGGCCACTGCCAGGCGCCCAGAGGGAATGACCAGAGTAGGGAACCACCCACCAAGTGATCCACCCTGTCACCCACTCCATAAGAACGGCCGTACTGGGTCAGACCAAAGGTCCATCTAGCCCAGTATCCTGTCTACCGACAGTGGCCAGCACCAGGTGCCCCAGAGAGAGTGGACCGAAGACAATGATCAAGCGATTTGTCTCCTGCCATCCCTCTCCAGCCTGTGACAAACAGACTCAGGACACCAGCCCTGCCCAGCCTGGCTAGTAGCCATGGACAGACCCATCCTCCATCCTGTTTAACCCTGGTCAAGTCCTGGCCTCCAGCTCTGAGTATCGGAGCAAAGTTCCTTCCCGCGGCTGGACGGTGCCTGCTCCCTTTGGGATGGAGCCGACAGCCGCTGACTGCGCCGTGCTCCAGCAGGGCTGGGGGTTCAGCCACCAGGGCCCTTGGGAAATCTGCAGCTTCCTTCCTCCCACCATGTGGGGCACAGGCAGCCCCGGGGGTTTCTGGAGGTGACTGTTCCTGTTGTAAAGGGGCAGCCAGGGACTGAGGATGCTCTTACGGGCACAGGTGTGTGCAACCCCCTCCCCCTTGAAAGGAGCCTGACCCCCGCCTTGCAGAGCAGCTGATCCTTACTCCCCTTTCCCTGTAGCAGTGGCTGCGGCAGCCCCCAGCCCATGGGGCCCCACTGTGTGACAAGCCCTGTTAGACACCAGAGACAGCCCCACGGGACAGTTACTGACCCCCAGGTCAGGCAGCTCTCACTGCCTGTAGATCAGCCTGGAGGCTACCACACCTGGCCCCTGGGTAGTAGCCCAAGCCCCTCCCTCCCTCCCCCGAGGCAGCCAGGCCCAGCTCTGGTTTAGGCCCATCGGCAGTTTGGTGAGTTGAAGGTGGCAAGAGAAGGCAGCAGGCCCATGGGAGACCGGCCCTTCTGAAACTGGTGTCCTGCACCCAGGCCAGCATTCTGCTTTCTGCTCAACTCCCAAACCTGGGAATTGTCACACTAACCGCAGAAGCACTTTGCAAATTTTGCCCTGCTGAGCCCCCTCCCCGCCATGCTGAAAACCCTCCAACTCACAGCACAAGATCCAATTCCGTTTTTATACCAGTCAGTCCGTGGCTGAATCCGCATTGGAGCATTTAGTGTCACAGCACATCTGTCCCGGAACAGACCCGTCCGGAATACTGTCGTGTTACAAAAGGACAATATAAATAGCTTCTAAAAAACAGTCACCAGAAAACAAATCAGTAGTTGTCTCTAGACAGAGCTCACCAGCTCGTTTCGCCTTTCAGCTGCTTGGCCTTGGCTCTCGGAGGACAGAACTGGAGAGGTGTCTGAAGGGGATGGGCAGAGGGGTGTGTCTCTGTAGTAGTGTCTCACTGCCGGGTAGGGGCCTGTGCAGTCAGAAACCCATCGGGGGGAGGGGGAAGCAGAGGTCCTGCTGGCATGGGAGCAGCTGACATGGGTGTGGGGGCAGGGCTGCCTGGTCATTCAGCAAGCAAAGCAACTCAGGGTGACTGCAGGAAAGGGGCAAAGCAGCTCAGTGCCGGTGGCCTGGAGATGTAGCGAGCAAGCAGGTCCAACCCTGCGCTATCACCTGCCCTGGGGCTGCAGGGATCTGCTGCTGCCAAGGGTCAGCACGATGCTGAGCTACCCAGCTGGGGAGTGTAAATCAGCAGCAGTGCTGGCACCTGGGGGGCAGCGCCTCCCCCCACTCCCTGTGCCCTTAGGAGTGCACCCCCACCAGGCCAGGTGCAATTTAGCCAGCTGGGATCCTGAGCCAGGCCTGTGGCGGCTCCCGCACACAGCACCGAGCCCCGAGCCTGGCTTGAGGGCAGCGGGTGCTTGCGGGACAGGGAAGCGGCTGCTCTCCGTGGGGACGCTGCAGCTGGCTCCCCCACTTTCCCACAGCGGGTTGGCTTGCTTAGTGGGATGAAAATCCACACCCTGGTCCCGTCCCACGAGGGGCGTATCTGCCACTGCTACAGACCCACCCCCGTGGAGCGGGGCAAGACACAGCCCTTCAGCTTCCACCCCTGGGCTCAGGGAGAGGCTGGGGCTCTGCACAGGCTCCGCTGGTACCCAGTAACACAGCTGGAAGAATGAAGAGACAGGACGGGGTCCGTGGAGAACAAAGGGGGACACTTTACTGGTGGAGGGAGAAGGGATTCAGAGCTGACCAACCTGCTGGCCCCCTTCATATGGGCAGAGCAGAGCAGGGCTGTAGGCGCAACAGGGCCGGCTGGACGCACAGCCTGGGATGGTGTCACAACCATGAGGTTCCTGCAGGCAAAGGCGGGCCAGCAGCTACGCAAGGGCGCTGGAAGGGGAGGGAGTGCCTGGGAATGGCCAAGTGCCTGAGGGGCTGTAGCAAACAACGCCCACCCCTCACGGTACACAGGTGGGCATACAGCCTGGGGCAGGCCCTTCCTGCTGTGGGCACTTTACAGGAGTAACGTCCAGTTTCTAATGAGCCAGTCTATGGGCGAAGGGCCAAGGGCGAAGGGCCAAGGGGAAGAGCTCCTGTCACCCTACACCAGCTGGGCTCCAGGGACATGGCCCTAGCTCAGGTCTGCTCCTCCCGTGGCCAGGAAAACCAGGTAAAATAAACCGCCTGGGGCAGGCCCTTCCTGCTGTGGGCACTTTACAGGAGTAACGTCCAGTTTCTAATGAGCCAGTCTATGGGCGAAGGGCCAAGGGCGAAGGGCCAAGGGGAAGAGCTCCTGTCACCCTACACCAGCTGGGCTCCAGGGACATGGCCCTAGCTCAGGTCTGCTCCTCCCGTGGCCAGGAAAACCAGGTAAAATAAACCAACAATCCCCGTGTGCTTGGGAGCCCCTCCCCTCTGGGTCCCGCGCTTGGACGCGCTCAGAGGAGGAAATGGCAGTAAGGCAGCTGGGGGAACTGCAGTTCCAGAACCGCGTGAGCCCCCAGCCCAAGCACCATGCCGAGTGGTTTGCACGGCCCCGTGGGCCAGGGACCCCCTGCAGCTTGGCTCAGTGTCTGTGCACAGTCCATAGGTGGACCCCTCCCCACGCAGCCCCCGTGGCCCTGACGGAACGGGAAGTAAACGCAACAGCTTCCAGTGAACTGCCGCAGGGGCCTCGCTGCAAGACAGGGCACCCGGCCCCTAGCTCAGGGGAGGGAATCCGCCACCTTTCCACAGTGCTGGCGGCTATCACAGCCCAGTGCCCCTTCCCCCCAGCTAGCCCTTGTGGCCCCAGCCTGCCAGCGCTGTAAGCACAGGCCGCAGTTCCCTTCCCGCTATGCCAGTCCCAGCACAGCAGCTGAGCCTTCGTGGCTGAGCGCTAGGGAGGGCAAGGGGCTGGGCCCTGGGGACTCCCTGGCCCAGGTGGGTTAGGCAGGGGCAGTGCTTGCTGGGATACCTAAGTGGAGGGGGCTGCAGCGGGCTCAGCCAGGTTGCAAGGACCCCGAGCAGCAGAGGCCAGAGCCAGCTCACTGCTCACCAGATCCGTGTGACGAGAGAGAGAGAGAACCTGCTGGGCAGCATCCTTGGGACCTGCAAAAGCAGCCTGGCCTCTCCTGTGAGGGACGGCGCAACGGCAGCCCCTCCACCCTGCTCTCGGGGGAGAGCCGGGCTGTCCACAGCCCAGCCACGGCCGGCTGCTGGGCATGCTCGGCTCCCCCAGCGCCAAAGCCAAAGCCCGCGGGGCTCCTGCCTAGCCTGACCCGGGACGACAGGGCCTGCAGCCATAAAGGGGACGGGCACAGCTGTCTAGAGGCAGCTGAAAAGTTCCAGTGTGGTTCAGCCTCTGGTGCTCCCTGCCTGGCCTGCGTGTATAGAAACTACCCTTTGGATCAGACATTGTCAAGTCATTAAAACCCCCCCGCCCCACTCAGCAGGACGGGGCGAGGGCAGGCGAGTCCCTGCTGCAGTCACGACAGTAGTGGCACCGTTGTCAATCCAGTTAATGGCCCTGCAGAGAACGGGGCACGCCGGGAACTCGCAGGGCTCTGGGGACCGAGCGCCAGGCTGTCCTGCTGCTGGCTGGGCTGCCCGGAGCCAGGCCCCGCCACAGCGGCTGAAGGGAGTGGCGGGAGCACCCGGGGAACGAGGCAATGACATGGCCACGGCTCTTTGGTGCAGCTGCCTCATCTCATCCGGTTCTGCCTCATGAGCGGCACGATGCTGGACGGAGGCCCGGCCTTGGTCAGGAAGGGGTGTTTCAGGAGTTCGTTGGCAGAGGCTCGCTGGGCGGGGTCTCTCACCAGCAAGCGGTCCAGGAACCCTTTGAGGGAAGGCGAAACCTGCGGAGGAGGGAGCAGCAGCCATGAGTGGGGGGCGGAGGAGAGCCACTGGGTGTCTGGGAACTAGCACAGCTGCTGCCGGAGGAGCAGGACACCAGCCCTAGCTCCCCCGCAGGAGGCCTATGCTGGGAGTGCCTCCGACAGCAGGCGTGCGAATGCCCACGTACGTGCCCAAGCTGCGGCTCGAGACTCCCCGTGGCAGCGACTGGACCCAGCCCCGTGTCCCGTTCCAGGACTTGGGAGCGTCACTGAGAAGGCTCAATGTCCTCACAGATGCCGGGTATGGAATGTCCTTCCCCGCCACATTAGAGAGCAACCAGATGCCACGGAACCGGGTCAGCATGTGACTGGCTCACTAAGGAGCATGGAGCTACCCGACTGGCCTCCTAGGACACCCAGTCCCCCCCGCCGTGGAAGCCGAATGCGTTGGTGGGGCTCCCATGGCCAAACTCAGGAGAGGAGCAGACGGCAGCTTGCTCACCTTGTGTGCATTTTTCAGTCTGGGGGGCAGGTTGTCCCTGATCATCTTCATTGCCTTTAGAGGGGGCTCGTTAAAATAAGGGGGCTCTCCATCCACCATTTCTATCACCATCACGCCGAGGGACCAGATGTCCACCTGCAGAGAGGAGAGATGGGGACAGTAAGCAAAGGGTCCAGGAGCAGCAATGGAATGATGGGTGGGGGAGAGCTGCTGTGCCCCATGGTCCCAGGTGCTGCAAGACGCAGACACACAGACAGTGTCTGCCCCCGGAGCGGAGTGTAAACGGACAAAGCCTAGGGGGAGGGGAGGAGAAGGGCATGCACACAGGGCAGTGGCCTGCCTGACCCAAGAACCGATTCCAGCCCAGCCACTAGGCAACACTGCCTCTTGGTGTTTACGCCAAACTGCCTGGGCAGCCCTCCCCTCTCTACACCAGAAAGGCCGGTTCCCTCGCCAGAGGGGAAATGCCACTGCAGGGTCTCACGGAAACAGTGATCAGGCCACACGCCCCCAGGCAAGACAGCCTGGATCGGACGTGTCCGGATGCCTAGTGGGTTTCCAGCCCTCACCAACTGCAGTCTGGCCCTTGAGTAGCAGGGACCTAAGTGCATCTAGCACGTCCCGACCGGCATTTCGAAGCTGCTCATGCCCAGCGCCCGAGATATGACAACACGAATTGCAAGCAAGCAGGCGACTCCAACGGGACCCAGTTCCACAGCCCCACCAAGCAAACTGCTGAAGCTGATTTTCACCAGCACTGAGA